ATATTTAAAATTATACATTTTAAGTCTTGATGGCAACAAGATGGAGAGTTCACCTTTGTCACAAATATCTGTCACCCTCGGTGCTTTTCTTTATTTTCCCGTGTGATGCGTTCACTGACCCTCACCTCCCTGTGCGCCTCTCTCTCCTCACTGCATTGTCATCCTCCTCCGGCCTGGAGCCACATGGCCCTGGCAGAGCTGGAAACGTTTTATTGACCACCGTGACATCCCTCCCTTTAACCCTTAATTAAACAAAGGCGCGCGGAACTGTWGGAGTCATCTCGTTCCTTCAGGCCCTACAAAAAAAAAAAAAAATAGAACCAAATCAAACTAAACTCTAATTAAAAGAAAAAGAAAAAGACGCAGCAAAGAATGATTAAATCGTTAGTCTCGCCACGGGAAGAGGTATTTCGTTTTCCCTTTCAATTAGAGACTGATTGGCGCTTTTCAGGGGAGGTCAGCTGTGAAATCTGGATTATTTATGCGCGGACTCAAAGCCTCGCGGACTTGCTCTTCCCTTCTGGTCTACGACCGGGCTTCTCGATGGGATGTTAAATTAAAAAAGGCTAAAGCTGCGTAAAAGTAAACGGTCTATTGCAGGGGAGATTCTGGAGGGTATAGCTCATTCCCCATCACCAGCAGACGGCGATAACGTTGCGTCACCCAGCAATTTCACCTCATTAAATGCCCATCCATCTTTACGCACCACTCCTCTTTGAACATCTTTTTTTATTCTTTTAAAAATCACACATCTATCACATCATTTCTTCCTTTGATTGCACGTATTTCGCTCATTTCTTCACACCTTATTATATAATTTTAAGGACAGCAGAGGGCAGATCCGGAATTCTGTTTTAAAAGAGGTGGTTCGTCTCTTAACTGAATTCAGCTGCACAAAAAATTGGCTTCTAACGTGGGATTATTTCAAGCTCAAATAAGGGAAGAAAATGCAGTTTAAAATGATTTGATTCGTGTTATTTTGGAGCACTTTAAAAGTTGTGAGATTCTGGCGATTAATCGAAATTCTTCTATAATGTTCCTTCAGAAGTTGGGCCCGTTGTAATCAGAGATAAACCCCACCACCATTCATTACCCCCGAACAAATCTTAGTTATTTTTGTTGTTAAAGTCTCTGAGAGCTTGTTTGAAACATTTCAAATGCTTCGCTGCTATTTGTGGGATTGATCCTCCTCTCTCTGYCTCCTCCTCCTCCTCTTCCTCCTCCTCCTCCTCCGGTGTGTTCTTCCTCTGTGCTCCTTTAGTCACCTGACCAAACTCCATGCAAATCATTCCGCTGCTCCAGCCCCATTGGACGCTCGTGGCTCATTTAACCGCTGTCAGTGCGCATCATATGGCCGCCGCTTTAACCAACTTCTTCAACTCAAACGGGGAAAGTGGCTCAAATGCTCCAATTTTGTCCCACTGGATGTGAAGCAACCCAAAMGAAGACGAGGTGAAATCCTGCGTGGAGAACACTTTTATATGCCTTCTCGGATTAATTTTCATCTGCTGCTTGTTTCCTTTGGGGTTAGAATTTTCGCAGCCACCGCGCGCTCGAACTTGTGTGCTCCTTGACCGATCCTGAAACTGTTTTTATTTATTTWTTCTTCTCTGTTGGTGGTGAAGTTTAAAAGCAGGTGAATGTATAGCATGATGATGGAAACTGACCTCCACTCCCCCGGCCCCCAAACGAACACGAGCACGGGGCCGAACGGCGGTTCCAATAAAGCGAACCAGGAGCGCGTAAAGAGACCAATGAACGCGTTYATGGTGTGGTCCCGCGGGCAGCGCAGGAAGATGGCGCAGGAGAATCCCAAGATGCACAACTCGGAGATCAGCAAGCGGCTGGGTGCCGAGTGGAAAGTGATGTCCGAGGCGGAGAAGCGCCCCTTCATCGACGAGGCRAAGCGGTTGCGCGCCATGCACATGAAGGAGCATCCGGATTACAAGTACCGGCCCAGGCGGAAGACCAAGACGCTGCTGAAGAAGGACAAATACTCCCTGGCTGGTGGGTTGCTGTCTGGACCCAGCGCCGGTGGGGGAGTTGGTTTGACTGTCGGCATGAGCTCATCCGGGGTCGGACAGAGGTTAGAGAGCCCCGGGGGTCACGGAGGCTCCGCCAGCTCCGGCTATGCGCACATGAACGGCTGGGCGAACGGCGCGTACTCGGGGCAGGTGGCTGCAGCCGCTGCGGCTGCGGCGATGATGCAGGAGGCTCAGCTCGCCTACAGCCAGCACCCCGGCAGCGGAGCGCATCACCACCACCACTCCCACCACCATCACTCCCACAACCCGCAGCCCATGCACCGCTACGACATGACGGCTCTGCAGTACAGCCCCATCTCGAACTCTCAGAGCTACATGAACGCCTCCCCGTCCAGCTACGGCGGGATCACCTACACGCAGCACCAGGGCTCCGGCGTCTCCTCCTCGGCCGCCATGGGGACGTTAGGTTCGTTGGTGAAGTCGGAGCCGAGCGTAAGCCCCCCCGTCAGCAGCACACACGCACGGGGCCCCTGCCCCGGAGACTTGCGGGAGATGATAAGCATGTATTTACCGACCGGGGAGCCGGGGGACCCGTCCATGCAGAGCAGACTCCACGCCTTACCGCAGCACTACCAGAGCGCAGCGGCTGGAGTCAACGGGACGGTCCCTCTAACACACATTTAGAACTCCCAGARCCGAACACAGAACAGAACCAAATATTTACCTCTTTTCTAAATAACTCCGCTCCCGAGAGCTCCTTGCATTTTGTATAGAATGTTTATGAAAATGTAAATGAAGGGTAAAAATAACAAAATCCTCTCAGCTTTTTTTAAAAATAATTAAATAACCATCAGTGGAATTATAATATGAAACTGAGATATTGTATCATCATCTGTTTGTCCATTACTTTAGTTCAAGGGAAACACCGGGGGAGGAAGTGGGGTTACTTAAATTATCTCGTACTTTTTGGGGAAGGGGGTGGGTCTTGTAAGTTATTTGAAAATGAAGTATAAGGTGTCATAATCATAAGAAAGTGCTTTAAAAGATTTGAGACGGGAAAAAAGATCACATTCCTTAAACATTTGTGTTCCTTTGCAGAAGCCTGTGTCTTCAAAACCATTTTTGAACTCATCTTTTTTTTCTCGTAACGCTCTAATTATTGTAAATTGTGAATAGTTTTATTATGTCACAGAATGAATGACGGAGCTGCCGCTGTTGTAATTTAAACGCTTTTCTGCAAGTGAAAAGCCCCTGAATCTGCAATGAAGAATGGTTGAATAAATTTCACGAGATGTTGCTTTGATTTCTAAGAAAAAAAAGCGTCTTGGRTTGGTTATTTTCAGAATGCTTGAAGGGTTTTTGCACGTTTTCGGACAGAACATTACAATTCAATCTATCAAAACAATATGGAAATTATTAATAACAATGTAATAATGCTTTTTTGGTATCACTGCCGGACCCTGATCCCATCAGCTTTGAACAAACAGACAAAATAAAACAAATGTTAGTGCGTAATTGCGCGTCCAATATACATTTTTAGGAGACAGTTTAGAAGAATTGTTTATATTTATTTTTTTACAATATCTTTTGTATATTTTCATCCAGTTGCATAGGCTGATAATGATTTATTTAATAAGCTTTATTTTTTAAATGCAAAAACACGATGGAAACTTTTTCCTGTAACAAAAGTCTTTTTTTTCCCTTTCAATCATTTGATTCTTTCAAAAGAAAAAAAAAAGAAAAGATGGCACTAAAAAGAGAGAGGCCTCATTTGATAAACCACCTGTTAGTATTCTTTAATTTTTATTGTCTACCAGGAATAAGATGTTGTTTTTTGATGATTTCATTTATTTTTATCTTTCTTCTAAAAGCCTGAAATTTCATCTAATTC